CTAGAGTAGGAGTTCACTACAAACCATTTACAAATTGGGTTGAGACTAGGAGGTACAAATAATTGAAAGATTTCACACAAACTGTTTTGTAAAATATGTATTTTGTTAAGGAGACAAAAAAATTAAGTAAGCCAATTACAAATATGTGTAGAGACTAAAACTACAAACAGATCAGATCACAGATCACAGAAATTCTGTAGCACGACAATTGGTTGGACACATATTCAGAATCTCTACAAATAGAGTGCTTAATGCAGAAATATACTGTACTACGATAATGAGCGAGTTGGGCAAAATGGTAGGTAATTGAATGGATGTTCAGAATTAAAGAATTCTTAATGCCATGATGGTTTATCCATAATGATACCTATAGGAAGACACGTATCCATTTTTGCGAAATTAGAGTGTCCAAGCGAGGCATTCATAAAATGTTCTGAGCTATTTTTCCCTTTACAATACAATGAATCAGTTTCTTAGGATAGTCACGACTTGGTACTTGGTGTTTTGTAGTTATGACCTGACTATTTGTTGCTCAAGATGAATGTACACATGTCAACACGATAGGTTTTAAACATCTATACCAGTTTCAACAGTTGTAATTGTCATATAGATTGATCAAACCTATACCTGGTATCATCACTATTTCATAGTGATTTATAACCTGCTTATGACATACTTATAACATGGTTGCATTCGTACTATCGATTGTCAAAGACTTGGAGAATATTACTTCCAAAGATTCCTAACTCGGAATATTAATATAATAAAACTAGAACGCAACAGTCATATTTGTGAAAAGAACTAACATGCTGGGATGTAACACTAGTTTGCATATATTTTGTACGCGGTTGCCTTCAAGAAAGTCACCGGTCACGAAACACCAAGTCTATATCGTGCAATCGGCAGGAAATGTCACATACTTGGTACACTCTTGCATGTTTGTTTGTGCGTCATGCAACTGAATATGATTAAACTTGAGTGGACTGCTACAGTCGGTGTAGGAAGTCAACTAGATATGTAATCACTTGGCATGCTCATGGTGGCGGTAATCCTCTTCGGAAAATTCTATCACAGTCATCTGCAGATGGACGACAAATATTCATCCTAATGCATTTGCTTCAGGCTCTGGGGACTATGACACTGCCGTGACGAGAAACGCGGTGTGATAAACGGTTATTCCCCATGTATTCCCCATGGTAACCCAACTTCTACAAATGATAACGTATAGTGATAGGATAGACGGTGTTATGGTAAGATGTAATATACTGGAATTACCTAGATAATAATTCCCTGTTGATGCATTAATGTAATAGCTACTATGTAACTCCTGGTATGGCGACGGTGAACGTTGAGATGGAATGACGTGATTATGTAATAGCACGTACAGGTATGGACCCTTTGAACATATCAAAGCACATTTCTAAAATTCATTTAACAATCTGAAATCTCTGTGGATATTCCTACAGTTAAATAATTTAAAGTCTCTTAGGGTATTTCTATATTTAGTTATACGATCTGAAATCTCCGTGGACATGTTTGAGATAAAGAAGATGGACGTCGTTCTTTGGGATCATGTGAATTATACGCGAGGATCTTCCATGTGACGTTTGAAGTCCTTGGTGTTCCTTTCTGGAGCATAAGAACAATGACGAGCTGTCTATCTAAATCAGGTACATTCCACACCGATCATCTTCCACGACAGTGCTTGAAATAAAAAATACATATTTCAAGATGTTTTATGTATGTGCGACTCACATCATTCAGTATTTGGCGCACCGATCACTGATTTAGGAGATTGTTGTTGGGATTCACTTGTTTGCTTGTGGTAATTACACCGCACCGTTATTTGAGGTTCAATACCGGTAGTCAGCATTTCCATCCATTTGTTTTCCCATAATCACGTTGTTTTGTGAGTGCGGTTATGAATGAACAACATTAATCCACATTATATAACACTTTTATTGTTTCACATTTAACATGGAGCCCATTGGTATAGGGATTCGTGGTTATGTGGACTACATTATGAAGATATGATGTTACGGGGTGAATCCCATATTGAAACACAACGAATCGCCCATACGTCGATTTATTCAGAAATAGATTGTGAAATCGCTGAACAAAAGAATACAGAGCATAATGCAAGAATTATTGTGAAATACACAGCATTAGGTTAGCTATCACAAAAGATAATACAATGGGTGGAACAGGTGGATACAACAATAGTTAACAGGCTTCATAACATGGAGACCAGCCCATGACGTTAGTCAGAATTTGTCACTGTTTTGTAAAAGGTTGTGTCGCAATAGAAACTGGGTGTTATCAGATAGGAATCCAATCTGCATTTAGCAGGTAAGTTCAGGGGCAAAAACATAACCTCTGAGTTGATTGATTTTCAGGTGAAAAAGGCATTATATCCATAACTAGAACTGTACTGGCGCTCAGTCCGCACTCTAAGAACGCTTCTTAATGGTTTAGTTTCTGAAATATAGTTTGATATATAACTTTTAAAAATTGTAATGAGAAATTCGCATGATTCAGAAATGCTGGTGAGTATCTTTCCTTTGAAATTCAATACGTTTACTTTTCTTTTCGGCTTTAATTTGTAACATCACAAGCACGGCAGGCGTCTTGTGGTTCTAAAATCAGTTCTTACACTAGTCTTCATTGATCCAATATAATTTTGTCCATCAAATTATCCATCCATCAACCATCTTTTACACATTATTGCAGGAATGGGTGATAGCAAAATACATGAAATCAAATTTAACAACAATCCTTTCAATTTTTAGTTACATAAATTACGTGATATTTTCCTAAACCCTACAGTCTAGATATAAAGCTAGCCCTTTCGCAAAACTCATGGAAATGCTCTCAGTTAACATAACGAAACTTCTCGAACGTTGGGATTGTTTACGACAACCAAGGGAGTTTTCTCTGATGTACCACCTGCCTAGGTGTACCACTAATAATCTGGCCACAACGACAATGCACCGTTTATGAGCGTTCTGTGCTGTAATGTACCATGCGACCGTCATGTCTGTGAAAACTCAAGCCATGGCACGGCTTCAATGATTTACCTATTGTCTAGCCTATCTGATATAAGATCATGTCGAAATTGATACGATACCTGTATTTACCTCTTGGGGGAATCACCTAGGTTTTGTTCTGATGAATATTCGCGACACTGTGAAGAATGGGATACATTATGTGTTATAGTTCATGCAAGACGTCCCGTAGGGCATTCTTCATAGAGAGGCTGGCGATAGACTATCCATCATTATCCTTGCACTACACACTGTCCTCCACAGTTGGTTGTTGCTCTTATCAATAGGCCTGATATATCAAGGCGTCTGTATTCGAGTCTGGAACAGACAATCCAGTGTTGCATATTTGGGGTAACTAACCACGCCAGTGTTATACGATGACACAATCAACCACGTCAGAGCGCTTGACTTGCCAGAATTTTAAAGACCAGATTACTTTGCTCAGGACCAATTCTAAACCGGAATCCTCACGGACATACCAGTAAATATGTGAGGTCAACTCACTGCAGTCGAAATCTTCCCTTAACAGATGTTCCTCCGTCATGATCACATTCAATACTTCAAGCAGGTTCTTTTTCAAATATTTTTCTTTTTTCAAAACCGTTTCGAAACCATTCTGCACGTGTAGGTACCAAATTCTACATGTTTTCATTGAGCTCCAGGATGAGTTGGGCATTTACGAAATTTACGAAATGATTTTAAAATATGTTTTTAATTTTCTATATTTTCATAAACATGTGATTTTTACAGGGTATTTTATTTGTAGGGGTAGTTTACTGCTTCTTCAATATCTTTCAACTTTCCTTCCGAATGCTAAGGATAACTGTTTGGTTCAGATTTAACGCTGTGAGAATTGAGTCTCTATCACATCCTCTCACAAACATCCAAAACGCTAATGGACGACTGAATGTCAGTAATTCCTCAGATTTATTAGCTAGATGGAGTACAGGCTGGAGACCATTTGCTCACACGAATGACATATAATGATGCTAAATTACAAGCTTAGATCTCCGACATCTTCGTTTTCTCTGTGATTGATTTGCCAGGGCACTGAAATCGAGAAGGCCTGATCCAGGACTACTGGTCTTCCTTTGCCTGGTTTCTCTCCAGTCGTAAATGGGCGGTTCGTTCCGGATGTATGGGATTACCTTGTTGATACAAACGGTTTCACGTTGTTGGCGTTACTTATTGATTTCGGCAAATTCTTGTGCGTGTCAAGTTTCGTTTTCCCCAACACTTCAAAATCTCTAGATGTTCTTTATGATAATGGGATTATTAATACAGTTCACAGAAATGTGAAATGTTGACGGATACGTCATGGGATTTCAAGTTGGGTTAATATACCTAAAAAGACGATTGCGCCGTGAATTAGCATGTCAGTTGTCAGTTGGAATGAATATCACCAATGCAGCTATATCAGATTTCCGCTACGTTTGCATAATTTGAACATCGTTTGAATGTTTACCTTCAGCGTGACTACTATACAGCACAAAACGAATGCTATTGGAACTGCTTCTTTCCATTCATGGAGCACAGTGGTGTAGTGGTTAGCATGCTGGCCTCTCACGCCAGAGGCCCGGGTTCGAATCTCGGTGGAGACACCAAAATTTGTGACCTGGGTCTCATGCTGTGTTGTGTCCCTGGGCAAGGCACTTCGACCACATTGCACTCAGTCTACCCAGCTGTTCAAATGGGTACCTGAGAAGTGGATGTACGGACCTATACGGTCGCGCGAAGCGCTTAGCAGCAGCTTTGAAAGTACAATTCCGTCAGGGCAATAATGTTACGCCGAAGAGAAGCATCGTGCTGGTTTTAGGCGCAAAAAGTAGCATTATTATTATTATTATTGTTGTGCAGATAATGAATCTCATTTGCTGTCTAAAAACTAGTGAACAAATGTATAGAACGATGTTAAAACTCATTCACCAATTCAGTTCTCCCCTGTGTATTTTCCAGGTTAAGCATGATCAAGAACTTCCTCAGCAACCGAACATGGTACGGCTTTTCGTTCAACAACTACAGCGTGTTGGAATACCACGGCATCATGATGCGGGCACAGGGGGAAGACCACTGGTTCCCCCCTGCCACAGAGGGCATCCTGGTCTGTTGCTACTGTCTCGTCATCCTCTTCGGTCTCCTAGGCAACCTCCTGGTGTGTGTTGTCGTGTACCGGAACGCCCAGCTCCGCTCCCCGAGGAATCTCCTGATTTTGAATTTGTCACTGTGCGATATCATAATGTGCGTAATATGCATGCCCTTCTCTTTAATCCGAATGACACTGAAGAACTGGCCCCTCGGAGAAGCTTTGTGTAAGATTGTGCCTTCTTTGCAGACAATTGACGTGTTTGTGGGCACATTTACTATCGTGGCCATAGCGTTTGATAGATACAAGGCCATAGTCTGTGTTGTGAGGGAACGCCGTCAACGAAAGCCTGTTATGTATGTCATCATTGGGATCTGGGTTGCAGCGCTAGTGATGTCGCTACCGATGTTAATGTTTCACCGAGTTCACACCGCAGACATGGTGGAGTACCACGTGTGCGTGGAAGACTGGCCGTCGGATCCCTTCAAAGGGATTTACACTACTGTAATCATGATAGTTCAATACATGACACCGACGCTCGTTATAACTATTCTGCACGCACGGATATGTCACTTCCTGCGTTTGCGCATCGAGGAAAATCCTACAACGGAAGCCGAAAACAATCGGGCCCTGAGGTACATGCGACAACACCGACGGAACCTGCTACTTCTCACCGCCATCGCTGTTTCATTTTCAATCACCTGGCTTCCACTGACGATCCTTAATGTTACAGCGGACTTTGATTACATGCTATTTGCTGACAAGAACTTTAACCTAATGTACGCAATCTGCCTGCTAATAGCAATGGGATCTGCTGGCTTGAATCCTCTGTATTATGGATGGTTCAACGTCAACTTCAAGAACGCGTTCTTTGAGCTTCTGTGTCAGCCGGACGGTGACAGCGCCCAGGACAGGAGTAGTGGCAGCGGTAATGGCTCGAATGCTAAAACGGGATTCAAATACGAAACCTTTAAGGTTGATTCAAGGGAGGGGTCGATCAGGCAAAGCAACTAAATCTTACATTCCCTAATATGTCAAACAATGCAATACCATACAGCGCAGAAACCCACCTTACGGGACAGTATTGCGATAACCTGCACCTAAGTCACTTTCTTCACATACATAGATCATGCAATATCTTAAACGGGTTCGGTGGCAAACTTTAGGATATGGTTTGGTTGCTCACAGCTTATGTTATTATTTTTGTTCTGGGACTAAAGAAACTAAATTATCGGAAATCTGCAGTGGATATGAGGTCAGTGTAGATCATGCTAAGTTGGTTCCTCACCCAAACAAATGAAGTGCATATTAATATAGTAATTAGAGTAGTGCATCCCTTGTGTCAATGTCCAATCAATATGCGGACGATTGTAGCCGCGAACCAGCTTCGCCCATTTCGCGTAGTATGAGAAATACAGTCTAAGGATTGGACCACTCGATGGACGGTCTTCCACTGGGTCGATGATTCGACGTTGAACAAAGTCCATTTGCTCGTCGGATATGTAGGGCTGTCACGTATTAATCATATTTAACTCATAACGTTTCTTGAAGGAGTCCTTTAGATTTTTGGCGCAATGTTTGATTGGGTTTAATATCGCAATGAACAGTATTGCAGGTATGTCACTGCAAGTGTCTAAAACGATGAAAGCCAAAGTACTGACTAATCAGGTACCACATTCAGACCCACGGCCAACGGCTAAAGAATGGAACGAGCGAAGTTCACTCCTTCTTAACCCAGTTTATGCTCTTTGAACAATGTATCAGTCTTGGCATTGCATAGTTTTCCAAACATAAGGATGAAGGACCTTGACGTCTGTAAAAGGCTGCACTGCAGATGCATGACGTCGGTCTGAAAGTCATCAAGTCTGGATCAGACTATCACAATCCAGTAATTAACACCACTGGAATACGATGACATTCATGAACAAAGTGACCTATACTGGCCATCCCATCTGATACACCTTTAGGTTATTTGGGTTGCTACTTCTACCCCAAATCCCCATGGGTTTGTATGATTCGAACAATCAACATATCATAACTTGAACAGGTACAGTGACCACTGGACCTTGACCCCGAGACAACGTGAATCATGCATTAGCTTTGACTTAAAATCTTTGCCATTTATAAATTGCCCTATGCTTTGAATCCTCTAGCCAACTGGTTGGGTGTAACTGAAGATAACATCACTCCTTTCATATCCACTTCTTATTGAGTTGCAATGTTGCATGTGATCTGGGTACTGTAACACGGGCATTCCTTAGCAAAATGTTTAGGTGTTTAGGAAACAATTTAGAACACTCTTCGGGGACCAAACGCGTCAAAATTTCGGTTGGTAACGTTTCTTCTCTCGTCAGTGTACTTTAAGCATATAAATGGAAATGACTAACATACAGTCATTGTTATGTTTTAGATGCATCAGCAATAGCATAAGGTTCATCGATCCACTGAATAGTGGGCCAAATGTGAAGTTAGTTTTAAGATTGACAGACTGTTGTCAGATAACTTTGCGAGTGACTTCCGGGTAGACATTAATATTTCATGTAGGCACACTCATGTTTATTTCTAAAAATGTGGGTCTATGCTTATGTTTTAAATGATCTAAGTGAACGTGTCGCTAAATAACTAATGTTATAAACCGTAACATTAATCATTATTAAATTTTGATTTGTTTCAGTTGATGATTTGGAGAATAGAGAATAAAAGCAGAGGCGCCAATCTCAATTATCTGTAAAGCCATTTTGGAGTCACAGAACAATACTATATCGGTGTAAAGACATTTAGTAACATCAACGCCGAGCCTTCGAATTGACGACGTGGCCTTAAAACTCGTGTATATTTCTACATGATGAACATCGACAGCTGTAAACATTTAAACTGTATATATACGATGCCAAGCATTACCTTTATACAAATACAACAATAGGGGTACGACCCGTTTTACACTCAGTGATTGCGCACGACATCGTTTACCACTTTGCCTTATCTGAAGGTACCCGGTAGATTGTAATAAGAAAAGAGACCAGTGTTTTTTAATTCTTCCAGAGTATTGTGAAGGTTTTGTATTTTACAAATACAAGAGCATATTGTCCCGGTGGTCCTTATTGTTTCTGTGACAATAATTGTATTGAAATAACAATGAATAACTGTGGAGTTGAGCAGATGGTGTTGCAATGTTTGATCATAGGTGAAGATAGTTAGTCCAGCAGAATTGCTCATCGTTCTGCCGACCGATATACGCTTACAGTGTGTGCTTCCTTGGCCGATTGACCCCTGGCCGAGGAACTGACTACGCATGCGTCGGCTGTTTTGCCGGATCTAACTTTACAATTCCTGTTATAAATGTTACAGAGCGTATTGGTTTTGCTAAATATTTATTATTGTTATTGGCTATTTTCATATGTATATGTATTTTTGTATTTATTATAAAATTCTATTGAAAGCTCAACACGAGTGTAACATCGAAAAACATATGCCTATTAAAGACGATATGCTGCATGGAAAACCACAAGGTAATATCCAAGTGATTTTGAAGACATCTACTGGATCGGGATTTTGGGTCCTCAAAGAAACAGAATGAATTCCGGAAACAGAAAACTAATTTAATCATGTTAAATGATGATTTCATTTTTTCAGAAGAGACAAAAAAAAACCATTTGGAATTGTGTTTATTTTCTGCATTTTATATATTATGCTTTCACACTTTTTACAAGTTGTAGTATATTTCCTGTTTTGGGGATTGGTGTATATATGATTTATTCCATTGAATAACCATATTTAAGTGTGTATGTGACATCAGCACAGGGTGTTTTGGGCATTAAGTGCCACTCACAGACATGTTTTGTTTGTCTGTTGTTGTGTTTTGTTTTCTGAAATACTTTGACAGAAATCACAATTGTGTTTCATGCATTTCGTAACGTATAGTACTGTTGTACAGATCAACATCTCATAACAAAGAGATTTGAAAGAAATAGCTCATGACGTGCATTTGGTACACCTGTATTGAGGAGTTTGTTAATGCATTGTATTGATTTCGGAGATTTAGAAAGCGCTTTCTGAAAGTGCTATGCGTTACATCTCAACGTCCTCAGTGATAAGAATGAAAGCCAAGAAAAATCGATTTTCGATTGAATTGGTATTGGCGTTTGAACTTGAGTTGATATTTAACGTGTATTGTCGGAGGATATGGTATATGGAGCATTACCGGTTTGGTAATGTATGTACACACTGACACTATATTGAGACATCGTTAACACTTGACATTGTACCGCCTCAAACTTCACAATTCTTCAACACATTCTCTTTGTGCTGTACAAAAGTTTTGTTTCATCCGTTATAACATTTTCCTGTCTGTATTACATGACTGACTTGTGATACAAAGTTTATATGCGTCTCGCGCAGTGCCTGCACATGTATCCTGCAGTATACCATCAATAAAATATGCTTCTGGCATGCAGCATTCATAATTTGTTTGTGTTTTTATCTTAATGGAAGAAGGAGAGTAGTAGCTGAATCTTGACATCTATGACTGTAGTGACGTTGATTCTTGAAGGGTTTCATAAATGTCGGCTGGACTAAATTTTTCTTGACCTTGACCTTGTCCTTGATCTTGGACTCTGATTCTTATGATAGTCACCTGGACTCTAGTGACCTTCCCCCTACTCCGTTGACCCATTGTGATCTTTCTTGTTTCCTATTCTGATAAACCTGACCCAAGAGACCTAAACCAAGCCGAACGTATCTACAGCGATCTCTTAACATTGGGGTGTGTAGTATAGTGGAATTATATAGAATTAACAATTGGAATTAAATCAAATGTATTCCCGCTTGCCAAATTGTATTGTTGATATATAAATATAATTTCAATGATCTTAGAACAAGTAATAAACCATGTACAGTGTTCCAGATGTGAAGTTAAAATGTCTCCTATTCAACAACGTTTAAATCTCTGCAAGATTAACAATCATTAGCATGCGTCAGTTTGGAAATTTGGGAACTTTATATAAATTTCTGGTGCGCGCACACACAGACACATATACATTCACTTTCACCCATCCCCTTATCATCATCATCGTTTTGCTCCTTATAGGTGTTTGATGAACACGAATGATACAGATTTGGATAACAGCAGGACGAAACAATAGGATCACAGATGTAAGTAAATTACGGTGTGAAAATGTGGAATATTAAACAATTCAATAATAGTTTACGTATTTCTTCATACGTACATTTGTTACGACGTTATATACAGGTACCTGAAGGAACACAAGTTATTTCATGTGTGATATGTAATAATGGTAAGTTCGCTCACTCAAGTACAAGGCCATTGCTGCCATATAAACAAGAGGGGATGATATGTCCGCCCGATCAGAGCATACAAATACACATCCCACATTACCAAAAGGTACTACCTCTGGTCAGGACATGAGCACAAACCCTCATTCTCAGTAGACGTCCAACTTGTCATAAATATATATACAAAAACAAATCTAAATAATTATAACACAATACTAAATCATGAAAAGGCATCACTGCAGCACCAGACTGACCTGTCAAGCAATTTGCAACAAGAAATAGTGAACGGTTTACAAGCTGAAAATGTCTGGTGGAGAGACGGAAACAGGGAGAGACGGAGGGGCATGCTGATCGCAAAATAGGGGATATAAAAACTGCACATATGGCATGTTGGACACACATTTCAGGTAATGGAATTTTAATGGCGAGCGATCTGCATGGTGCATACTACGCCAGAGTTTTATCACCTGCTCTGTTGAGAGTACAAGGTAACTTCAGCGGGAAAAGACATAATAACATTGTCCATAACTGGTCGTAAGTGTTCCCGGGGAAGTTGCAGAGGAAGTTACATGATGTAAGAACATGCTTGACGAGATCAGAATGCACCTGGATACACGTTGTCTCTTCGTCTTGAAGCAGAGCCATCCACAGTGGTGTATACAATACTGATGGGTATGGTGTCTTTTTCTGCATTGTTTCCAGATTCTTGCTGGTCTTGGGTTTTGATGTTGTTTTCAAACGGATAACGTCGCTGTCCAAATCAACACTGAGTGATCTTTTGTATGGTAGTCTGCCTTGAGTTGATCAATCGAATTTTAGAAGCAGGTTTTCCCACAAGTCTGGCAACATTCACTTGGAGAATTGTAATATGTTGGATTTGAAGGGATCTTTCCTGGGTTCGAAAAGACTGAAAAAAACATGTGATGATCGATTTTGTGGGGTCAAGGAACACAGTTAATAAAGGCATACCGGTTGGCGTTAATGCACAAGTGTATTGATTGACAACCGTCCCAGCATATTCAGTCACATATTCCTCGAGACAGATAGCCCTTGTAGCGACTTAGCCATATAATACCAAGATGTGGAGTGTTGTTGAATATAAGCCTGTGTTGATTGTGTCCACAGTTTGCATCCGTATACTATAGATGATGACAGACCTCACTACCACACCTACATCAATCAGTGCTACTTGAGTACAGTGGAATCTGTCAAATACGGACTCTGTGTAATCCGGTTTACCTATAATACGGACTACTCTCTGAGTCCCGGCAAAATTGTTCTTAACTTATCATTAAGACTTGCTTTAAAAGTCGGGGCTCTCTCAATTATGGATTACGGACTAAAATAACAGTCCCGACAAAACAAAACAAACAACAACAACAACTGGGAATTGGTCGGATATTGAACCGTATATACGATACTTTGAAATTGGGAAGTGTGTATCTCATGTCTTAACACATTGTACCAATGTGGGGAGTATACAAAATACCTCTCCAATTGCACTGAAACAGATCAAAATGCGTGATCAAT